TTCTTTGTGAACCACACGTGTCATGAGAGTTTCTCTGTCGAACGGGGCAAATCTCACATAAGCGCTGAAACAGTTCCCTTAGCAGTTTCCAAACCTCAATAAATAGCTTTTGAAGATGGAGCTCCAGCTTTTAGCAGCTGGAGGTAACCAATCAGGGCATGGAGGAGTGTGCCATTCCTTCCCCCCACAATATACTTTGGATGGCTTTATCAATGTTTTACATGTTGCTTTTATAATATTTAAAGAAGTACTGTATTTTAAAAGCCAACAGTGCAAAGTAAGATCCATCTTCCCAAGTAAGATCCACTGTGGCTGTCAGAGCATCCAGGTCATGTGGAGATGATTGCAAGTGGAGAATCTATTTCTCCCCCACCAAGACTTTCTTGGCATGCAACTCAGAGGGGTCATGAAAATGTGGTTAAAGAAAAGGAACTTAACATATGAACTGCCCTGAGGAGACGGGTCCTAATGAATATGGAAAAGACTGAAAGGCGTTCGAGAGTGCTACCCTCTCATTAGCTGAGACTTTTTTATTGGGGGGCTCATAGGACGGCAGGAGACTTCGTCAAAATTGATAGCTGCAATTTCCTAGGCTGAGATGATTTGTTCACCTCTGTTACGATGCCACGGAGACCAAACCAAAATAATCCTCAGGCGCAGAAGGAAAATTTACTCGCAATATTCACTATGCAACAGCCTGCTGCAGGAAAGTGAGGAATTGTCCAGGAATTAATCTCTACCTGCTACTAACTGACAGATTGATTCTCCAGACAGACGATGCAGGCCTTCTCCAGCCTGGTGTCCTCCAGACCCTTTGGCCATCAGATCCTTTAATCCCCTGGGGATTATGGAGATGGACGTCTATGGAAGGCCCCAGTTGCGAGCTGGGACAAGATGTCAGCCAATAAGGGAAGAGGGCCAGGCACAGGGAACTGCCCCGCCAAATGCACCACTATTGACCCAAATGGCCCAGCCAACGGAGCAGCCCGTCTCTCCATTAGAGGGTCATTGGGATCCTACCAGAGGCACCAAGACAGAAGCAGAGAAAGAAGTGGCACAGCTCTGGCCGAGGCACAGGGGGAAGTGTGTGTGTTGACTGCATGATAAAATACTCTCTTCTTCGAACACAGCAGCTGCTTCCCCAGAAGGATCTAACTCTCCCTTTTGATTACTGCAAATGCAGCCCTCTGGGGCACTGGGCCAACGCTGGATGGAAAGAATGCCAACGGCTCCCGGTCTGCATGTGCCAGGGATGTTGAATGGAGGAGGAATGGAAAGGATGTGTGACACGGTTGTTGGCAGCCCAACAGACTGATTCAGTTACGCCCAACCAGGTACCACTTCAGGCACTGACCAAGAGAGCAACAGGATCGGAAGGGTTGATTCTTATGGATTCTTGCTTCCTTCAGCTCAGCAGGGCATCTAATTAGAGAAGTGGAGAGGAAATCAGTAGAGTCTGGAAAATGATCACATTTGCTTCCAGGGGAACACTGAAGACACAAATGCATCTGAAGCCATGCGGACAACTGCCATCCCAATCTGGAAGGGATTCCCTGATCTCCCCAGAAGAACTGATGCAAAGGATTCATTCTCCATCCAGGCTGAGACTCCTAAGTCATGAAATCATCTTTAATTTTGTCCAGGATGAGTCTGGATAAGCTCTGGACAGGGATTTAGCTGCTCCATCTCACTTCTGCTGCTCCTCAGAGGATCCATTCTCTCGCAGCCCTTGCTAGGATCCAAACCCTCGGCCAGGGAATCCGAGGCAGAAGATCTTCTCAAGTATCCAATCTCAATTTCTTTAGCCAGGGATGAGAGGTTAGGCTGTGGCTGGGTTTGGAATGGAGAAGAGGGAAAGGTCACCCAACAACACTAAAGTTGTCCCCTTGTCCTCCAGAGAAGATGGAGAGGGTTCTCTCTCTCATAATCCAGCTGGGGCCTCCCAGTGAATGCTGGTCAAGAGATTCAGAAGAGAGCAACAGTTCACCCAACAGTGAACACTGTTAGCATTTGCTGGAACTGGATCTGTTTAGATATTTAAAGCAATTTCTCCAACCCGGTGCCTTTCAGATGTGCTGGACTTCATTCTCAGGCCACCTGGGAAAGTATGAGCACTGTAGTTCCACCCATGGGAAAGATATCAGGGTGAGGGAAGTTTTAAACTACCTGTTTCAAAGAACATCTAATTCATCAACCAGCTGGCTACTATTAGCCATAGTAAGTAATAAGAAATTTCCTCTTTAGGTGCAATATACCAAAATGGCAATTGCTGCAGAGGAGCCCGGATCAGACGCTATTGCCTTCGTGATCAGCATGATCTCAGTAAGAAGCGTCTGGAAGTTAGATGAGACCTGTGTGCTCTGATCTGGCAGAGGGGTTTTTTTTCACTTCTTTTCACAAAGTGCTCTTCGGGGCGTTTTCCTTGGAAAGCAGGGACGAAGCGCCACCTGCCCACCCAGATATACTGAGCCACAGAGTGGCAGTTTGTCCTCTCTGAATCTGCTTGGTCTCCCTTACTGTTCCTGTTCCACTTTGCACAAAGCAAGTTTCAAAGAGCAGGGAAGGTTTGCCCGGCCAGCACTCCTCAGCTCTATCGGGAATGCCGGCAGACAGGACATTAAATCACGGAGATAAAGAAACGGAGAGGGGGAAATAAAAGCAGCCCAATCAAAGGGGTGTCTGCTAATAGCCCTCTCGCTGCTCCCTCCATCCCCTGGACGAGAGGGAAGTTGGGCACGGAATTGCGAGCGTGGCAGATTGCAGCTCTCTTCCCAATCAATCTTTTATTAGCTCCGTTGCTCGGTGGGGATGAGCCGAGCTGAATCACCAGCTGGGGAAGAGCGGGCATTTTGCTGCTCGCTGCAGCTGAAGGATGGGGCGGCCCAAGCAATGTTTGTGGGGTCCTGAGGAGAAGGAGGCCCTTGGACGGGCCCCAGGAAGCTCTCCTGAAGGCTAGGACCAAAAGGGAGGAGGAGGAGGAGGAGGAGGAGGGGGGGGGGGGGCACTCCCCTCCATCCCTGCGAAGGCACTCTTTGCACCACAGCCCTGCAAATGGACTGTGGTCTATGCTAGCTTCTCTAGGCCCTTTGTTTCTTCTTCTTTTCTTTTTCACATGCCCCTAAGAATAGTTTTCCCAATTTGACCCAGCGCTGCAGATGCAGCTTTTCTAGAGCATCTTCAACTATTTCGTAACTCTAAGTTATTCATTTTTTGGACCTATATGACTTCTTATAAATTTGGGGACCAGATGCTCTTTAATCTGTTATCCCCAGAGTCCAGAAATTACCCCCAAGACAAATGAGCTCAGCACAGCAACTCCTTGTTCCGAGCCTATTTTGAAATAGTGCCTCCTTCCCCGCCCCCCTTCTCTCTATGTTCAGAAAGGCTGAAGTTTCAAAACAGTGAAAAATAGTACTATCTCAAAACTGCCTCTTAAGCTTTTTGCTTCGTCACTCTTCTCCATCCTTTTGTTGTTGCAGAACTTATGCCCCCCACCCCCAGTTCTTGGGGAGGGAATTCAGCTGGATGTTCGGGGTCTGGTGCAGGGCAAAGCAAATCCTGCAGAAGCGTTCAGAGAACAAGAAAAATATGGCAGGGCTGACCCCAGGTGGCTGCAGGTTCCTGTTGGCAATATTCAACTTTGCCTGGTCCTAATCTTTGAAAAATGGAATCGGACAAACACCTCAACATCATTCTGGGCTGGGCAGGGCAGTCAAATGAAGTGCAAGGAAGGAGCACCATTCATTTCAACCAAAAGGCT